TTACCCAGGGTAGATTAGGACAGTCTGGTGTTACCCACGGTACGTTAGTGCAGTATGGTGTTACCAGGGTAAATTAGTGCACTCTGGTGTTACCAGGGTAAATTAGTACAGTCCGGTGTTACCCTGGGTAAATTAGTACAGTCCGGTGTTACCCAGGGTAAGTTAGTGCAGTCTGGTGTTACCAGGGTAAGTTAGTACAGTCCGGTGTTACCCAGGGTAAATTAGTACAGTCTGGTGTCACCCAGGGTAAATTAGCACAGTTTAGTGTTACCAGGGTAAATTAGTACAGTATGATGTTACCCAGGGTAAGTTAGTACAGTCTGGTATTACCCAGGGTAGGTGAGCACATTCTGGTGTTACCAATGGTAAATTAGTACAGTCTGGTGTTACCCAGGTTAAGTTAGTACAGTGTGGTGTTACCCAGGGTAAATTAATACAGTCTGGTGTTACCCAGGGTAAGTTAGTACAGTCTGTGTTACCCAGGGTAAATTAGTAGAGTCTGGTGTCACTCAGGGTAAGTTAGTGCAGTATGGTGTTACCCAGGGTAAATTAGTACAGTCCGGTGTTACCCAGGATAAATTAGTACAGTCTGGTGTTACTCTGGGTAAGTTAGTGCAGTATTGTGTTACCAGGGTAAATTAGTGCAGTCTGGTGTTACCAGATTAAATTAGTACAGTCCGGTGTTACCCAGGGTAAATTAGTACAGTCTTGTGTTACCCAGGTTAAGTTAGTACAGTCTGGTATTACCCAGGGTAAGTTAGTACAGTCTGGTGTTACCCACGATAAATTAACACAGTCTGGTGTTACCCCGGGTAAGTTAGTACAGTCTGTGTTACCCAGGGTAAATTAATACAGTCTAGTGTCACCCAGGGTAAGTTAGTGCAGTATGGTGTTACCAGGGTAAATTAGTACAGTCCGGTGTTACCTAGGGCAAATTAGTACAGTCTGGTGTTACCCAGGGTAAGTTAGTGCAGTATGGTGTTACCAGGGTAAATTAGTGCAGTCTGGTGTTACCAGGGTAAATTAGTACAGTCCGGTGTTACCCAGGGTAAATTAGTACAGTCCGGTGTTACCCAGGGTATGTTAGTGCAGTCTGGTGTTACCAGGGTAAGTTAGTACAGTCCGGTGTTACCCAGGGTAAATTAGTACAGTCTGGTGTCACCCAGGGTAAATTAGTACAGTATGGTGTTACCCAGGGTACATTAGTACAGTCTGGTGTTACCCAGAGTAAGTTAGTACAGTTTGATGTTACCCAGGGTATGTGAGCACATTCTGGTG